CGGGCAGCCGCAGTGCTTCCCAATTACTATTTGCCGGCGTATAAGACAACCCGGCATATAAGACGACCCCCCCAATTGGAGGCATGTTTTTCAGGGCAAAAAAGTCGTCTTATACGCCGGCAAATACGGTAATACTGATGGCTGAAGGGCATGCAATGGGGTCCACAAAGGTTCAATGACAAATATGTCCAATTACCTAATTTGATTCATTTTTTTAATAGATTAATCACTAAACACAAGAAAATCAGCAGTATCTAAATCCAGTTAGCACTTAGCTCCATCATTTCTTTTTTAGGAGTGACTGTGATCATTTTAAATAGCACTAGTCATCAAAAAAGCACAACAAAGAATGTTCTTTCTGCGCCAACTCAGAAAGCTCAAACTGCCCAAGGAGCTGCTGATCCAGTTCTACAGAGGAATGATTGAGTCTGTCATCTGCACCTCTATAACTGTCTGGTTTGGTTCTGCAACCCAACAAGACAGACACAGACTTCAGAGAGTAATTAGGACTGCAATAAAAAACAATTACTACCAACCTGCCTTCCATTGAGCACCTGTATACTGCAAAAAAGAGGGCTGTGAAAATATCTACAGACCCCTCACATCCTGGACATGAACTGTTTCAACTCCTACCCTCAAAACGATGCTATAGAGCACTGCACACCAGAACAACTAGAACAAGGACAGTTTTCTTCCCAAATGCCATCACTCTGCTAAACAAATAATTCCCTCAACACTGTTCAACTATTACAAAGTCCGCACTAATATTACTATTAATCTTCTCATCACTCCTTATCACCCATCCCCTCCCACTTAACTGTATGACTGTAACTTTGTTGCTTGTATCCTAACAATGTATAGACTGTTTCCTAGTATGATTTGATTGCTTATTTGTACCCCTACAACTATTATTAAGTGTTGTACCTTATGATTCTTGACTCTTGACGAATGTATCTTTTCTTTTATGTACACTGAGAGTATTTACACCAAGACAAATTCCTTCTGTGTCCAACCACACTTGGCCAATAAAAAATTAAATTAAATTATAATCTAATCTAAGTACACTGAGAATGTATGCACCAAGACAAATTCCTTGTGTATCCAATCACACTTGGCCAATAAAGAATTCTATTCTATTATTCTATTCTATTCTATTCTATTCTATTCTATTCTATTCTATTCTATTTGAAAAGAAATCTCTTTATCTTGCTGGGAGGCCATTCGCTCTACACAAAACTTTTCTTTTTCACCTTAATCAATGAAGTTATAAAGGGATCTTCACCTTTTTTTCCTGTTAAACTCTGCATCCCCTAATATATATTTGGAGGATAAGCAACCTGATGCTCTCCAGGAATCCTGGACTACAAATCCCCAAATCCCTAACTTGATTATGACTGGGGGTGATGGGAGTCATAATGCAAAACTTTGGAGAAACAAGGGAAATTTTTTAGAACATTTATTCAAATAGATTCGACGCCCACACATATAATTCAGTTATATAACTTCCTTTTATATGAAGTTTTATATATAGAGACATATAAATCATTACTATTTTCCTTCTCCCTCATATTTACCTCCCTCAATTGAACTTGCACTCTCGGCTTTTTATCTCTTATTTAACAACTAGTAAAAAATTTACCTAACGCTGAAATAGAAAGTTAAAATAGCTTACCAGGAAGTGCGTAACCCGGAAGCGAACGCTCATCCATCCGGAAGTTATTCTTAGTTCACCTTTCGTCACAGGCCGAGGTGTACTCCTCTCCCCCCGCCCCCTCCAACCGGGCGCAACGACGGAGGTGGAGCCTTCCAAAGCGTCACCCAAGCACAGAATGTCGCCGGCTTGGGGAGGAGTCGCGTCGGGATTGGCTGATTGGGCGCGGAGGAGGAGGAGGAGGCGGCAGATTGGGCAATTTGAAAAGGAGGGACCTTTCAGTCTGAAGGCGATGATTGGGTGGTTCGAATGGGCGTTCGGGCGGCAAATGTCCTGAGGAGAAAGAAGGCGACCGCAAAATGGCCCCGAAGAGGCGGCTGAGGAACAGCGACGGGCAGGATCCCCCGTCGAAGTGAGTCGCAGCAACGGGAAGGAGGACTACCACCAATCCCGAAATGGCTAGCGTCTAATTCCCCCTCCCGTACATTTCGGGTGAGGGTGGGGGAGTTTCTTCTCGTCCTCGCAACGACCCTGCGAGGTCGGCCGCTGCTTGTTGCGAGAAAGGCTGAAGCCGCGATGGCGGCTTGCCTCTTTCTACGTGGGGTGACTTTCTCTGGGAGAAAGATGTGGAAATTTTTTAATTTTATTTTATTTTCGTTTGTCAAGCATGTATAAGAAAACAAGTATAAGTATGGATGTAACATACTTTTTTTTTTTTTACAATAATTATGCTTAAGTGAAAGTCTGCTGTCGCTGGGATGGGGGTGGTTTTATTATACTATATTAATTTGATTCTTTTTATTAGTTTTATCGTTTTAAATGTGGTTTTATATTCTATAAACCGCCTTGAGTTGCCAGCTGTGCCACTGCTCTCTTTAGAAATAAGTTTAGGAGAGAAATACTACAATTCCTTTTCCAAACTTTAAAAGAAATAAACTTTGTAAAAAAAAAATTAATCCCCAAACTGAAATTGATTGTGCTCACTTTATTATACCAGTAAAACTTACTGTCTATCAATATCTTAGAATTACTCAAGTTACATAATTGCTTTCTGTAGTGTAAGTAGAAATGTACATACTGTACTATAACGTTTATAACAGCATAGATGTCTTTTGTTAGTGTTCACTGCTCTTGCTTTTGATACATGTGTGTCTTTAAGTTGCCTTGTAGATCATTTTAGGATGAGCTGTCTGAAAGTCCATACAGTACAAGACTTTGTTAAGAACCCTTGTTTCTATTTTCATTGTCCGCTATCTGCACTGTGTTGCAATTCTTTGAACAAAATCCCTATCCTATTTTTGGAGGGTCTTCATCATGGATGAAACAGTAGCAGAATATATTAGAAGAACTGTGCTGCGAATACCACGTTCAGAAACATCGAAAATGCTGACTTCATGGGGGTTTCTGTCTGAGACTCAACTTCAATCTTTAAAAATTCATAATTTCAAGGAAAAAATATCTGAAGCAGTTGTTGAACTTTGTGAGGTAAGAGCAAAGTGCAAATGTTTTTATGTCATATCTTTGAATACACACACACACACACATTATAACAAATAATATGTGATAAAGATGAATTGTCTGGAAAACACAGAATTGCATATGTTTACAACTGCTCTTAATAATATGTTCATAAGAGACACTGAACAATATTGTTAACTTTATTTTAGCCTGATATTTCTGCAAAGTCAATCTAAGTTATTTAGCTTATACTTTATTCTGGTGAGCAGGGTAGCTAACAATTTTTAAAAATATACTAGTTGGACACATTTATCGGTAGTGACCTTTTTGTATAAATTATTTCCCATAAAAAATAATAAACTCAACTAAATTCTGAACTGACTGAGTGAATGAAAACAAACTTTCCTGAAGTAGACAGTTAATGATATCTAACAATCTTGAAGTCCATAAAATATGTAAAACAGAATCTCATTTTTAAGGACTAATTGCAATGAATGGATTCCATTATTTTGCAACAGAGATTGTAAGTATACATTATTTCAGTGTCATTCACATAATGTCTAATACAATTCTGATTAATTTCACTCAAAAATTAATTAGATTGAGACAATTTAAATGACATTCCCCTACTATATATTTAACTGGTTTAATGCCTTATAATACTCAATATTGTTCCAATCTCAACAATATTATATTACATACAATTGTAATATTGTACATAAGTTACGCTTTGTCTTAAAGGAGAACCAGGCAACTATCAAAGATGCAGCACAGTTGGACTTAATTTGTAAGTAGTCTTTTATTTAAAGAGAGAGAAAGAGTAAACAGCCTTTTTTTCTTTAGTCTAAATCAATTATATTATAAACTAAGTTCATTTGATGGGACTGATTTGTATCCTTTCTGTGATACACTTTTAAAAGCAGTTTAACTTTTTTAAGAATAGAAGATTATTCTTGTTTTCACTGCATAATATTCCATTGTTAAAGTAAATGTTTTAGTAGAAGATGGAATGGACTCTTCCAATCCATTGTTGATAATTAAATTAATCAAATAAACAATTCCCAAAACAAATTGTTACTGCAAATTAAAATCCAAATTCTTAATAGATAAGAGGAATTGTTCTAATTGCATCATTTATTTATTCAGAGATAATACAATGAGGTTTGCTTATTCCCACATAATAATAGTCAGGATTACGTTGGATTTGATGCCCACATTTTATATGGTTCATACTCTAAATCTGAATTTTTAGCTAACTAAGGAAATAATTCCCTTGGATTTGATTTTGATTTTCAGCTTGTTAGCTTTTTCAAAAAATAGCACCACCTCTAACAATTTCACGACTTGAAAACACATACTTTAGTGTTCTGTTGGATGTTACCAAAACTTATTTATAAGGAGGTATGGACTGTTTATATCTTCAAAGACAATGTGTAAAGAATAGAGATTAACTCCAATTAATGTAAAAATTAGTTAAATGTAAAAAATAGTAATACTGATATTCCTGAAATTCATTTTATAGGGGAAGGGCTTTGTCATGATATTTATGGAGTTTTTATTAACTTACTATATTATTAAAGTAGAAGCCACTCAGTTTGTAATTTTTTTTAGACAACTACATCTATCAAGACAAAAAGAATTGGATTGTTTACCAAATGACTAGAGAAGGTAGGAACCCACAACTTACCTTTATTCTAAAAATAGTTGACATATTTCAATATAAATTGAAATGTCTTATGTTTTAAATTAATATAGAACTTTCCATCATGTTACTTTGAAATCTTTACAGTTAGAACAAGTTTTTTTCTTAACTAAAATAACCACGCTTTCATTAGTACATTTGATTCATCAACCTTCTGTATTAATCTTCAATTAAATTGATATTAAATGAGTTAAGTGATTAAAAAACGGAGTGAATCTCCTTTAATTACATGTATACCTTCCTTTTAGTGACTTCTAGTGCTCCTGAGAACCAATGTAGCCTATCGGTTGAGGTTTAGAATCAGGAAGACAAATTTCAAATTCTTCAACCAGTCACATACATGTGGTCCTCGACTTACAATCCCAGTTGAAACCAAAATTTCAGTTGCTAATAGGGACAGTTGTTAAGTTAACAATGTGGTTGTTAAGTGAATTTGACTACCTCGTTGACTTTGCTTGTCAGAAGGTCGCAAAAAGTGATCATGGGACCATGAGGGTGCTGCAATGGTTGTAAGTGTGAAAAACAATCCTAAGTCACTTTTTTCAATGCCGTTGTAACTTTGAACAGTCACTAAATGAATGGTTGTAAGTTGAGGACTACCTGTACCCTCAATTGAGCCTACTTGAAAGGTTTGTGAAGATACAATGGATATTTTGGTTTTCCAAAACCTTTAGCTTCTGAGAAATAATATAAATGTGAATATGAATATAAATATGAATATAAATCAAATAAATGCATATATTATTGTGATATTATGCATGTATTATTGTGATATTAAACTGAAAGAAAATGCATAGCACAAAAAGCAGTGCATTCGCCAAAACATTGAGTTAAAAATACTCCACTGTAAATCAGATTTTTTTTTCCTATCAATAAAACTGCCTAGAAACTTATATTTAATTTCATGGCCAAAGAATAAAAGAAGCTTGTGTGGCAGTTCCCTTCATATTAATGCAATTTCAGTGTGGCAGTCTTCTTGTTCTAAAACAAAATTAGCTGTTGTGTGATACTTCAAAGATTGAAATATTAGTTATGTCATCCATCAGCAGTTTTCTGCTTGGCAACCTCCTGATGTACTGACAGTTTTGGAGGCCCATCAGAAATATGCAGTAGTCCAAAAATATCTAGAAATCATCAGGTTGGTGAAAGTTGATTTGTGTAAACATGAATAGACTTGAATCACCTTTGTCATTGTTAAAAGTAATGGAAAATTGCAGCCTTCAGTGTAAAAGTAACATTTTACATTATTTTGTATAAGATATATTGTGTTAAATTATTTTATTATTTGCAGATGATGAAGATGCGGTCATTTTTAACTGGACAACTTTCAAAAAGAAATTTAAATGCACTCTGCTATCTGTTTTGAAAAATGTAAGAATAATCATGAAAATATTTACTCTCTAATTCCAAGAGTTTATACTTAGCCTATTCTACTAAATCATTTCAATGTAAAACAATTTGACATTAAAAGGACATTCATTTTTATTTAGAAGTGATCCTTATCTGAACTGTAAGGAATAGGTCAACACACTAAAATGAACTTGATTGTAACAATCAGAAGCTATGAAATGTAGTATATATCATTCTATATGTGACCTAATAGAACTGATATTTTAAAAATAATGTAACTGTTCACGATAACTGTGCAATAGTTAATAAATGGGCTTAGCATTTCTTAAACAATTGCATAAGCCATAAACAGGAGTGCATATATTATTTTAAACTAAAAGCAAAGCCAATATGGCTTTGTCTTCTGTGTAAGTTAGGATGTTGTGTTTGTTTTGTCTGTAATGCATATGTGAGAAAGTTATTTATTTTTGCAATATTTTACTATGGTTTAAACAAGCCACCAGAATTTTTTCCTTTCTCTTTATATCAGGCAACAATCAGCTTTAAAGAATATGAAGACAATGCAGTGTGGATTCGAATTGCATGGGGAACACAGTATACAAGGCCTAATCAATACAAGCCAACCTACGTAGTTTACCATTCACAAACCCCTTATGTCTTTATAACCAATTCTAAGGTTAGGAGAAATAACACTTTGCTCTTTCAGGTAAATATATTTTGCATTTAATTATTTATCTTGATTTTCTTTCAAGGTCATTTTTTTGATATAACAAGGATCAATTGATATGTTGGTTTCCTGAACTAATGTATAATGTATGCATGCTTAAATATCATAACGGTAAAATGGGGAGATGGGAAGAACAACACATTTCAGTTTCAATTAAAGATTGCCTCCATTTTCATTTGAAGGCTCTGTTGGCTGCTACCTGTTACAAAGACATCCATGAAATGGGTCTCCGAAGCCATTGCTTAAACTCTCTTAAAGTTATTTTGTTTAAAAGATTTTCCCAGGTGAGCTTCTCTCTTCTAAGCCGAAGTTGGGGTTGTGTTTGTTTTGTTTTGTTTTAGGCCTTTTTCTAAGCATCCCAATGTGGTGAATGTGACTTCTTCAGAGATCACATTACAATTCTACAAAGTTGGATAGGCTCTCAACAAGATAAATTTAACCCTGTGGATTGAACTAATGTGTCACCTTTTGCTTTTTGAAAAATCCTTCAACTCTCAATCAGTAATGTAACAATACATTAAATGTCCATACTGTTATTATTCCAAGTTCATTTTTAGTTTTAACTAGCACACCATATGTACGCTTCACATGTTATTCTTGAAGACAGAATTCCAACATGTATATGCAATACAGAGGCATGTGTGCTCCCCTATTTCTACCTTCTGTCCTGCTTTTGCTAGTTAAAAAGTCCTCAATGGCTTCTATGGGTATTCAGCTAAATGCATAAACATTTTTGTAAATTCATAAGTATACGTATCAGTGGAATAAGATTTGAGCACTGAGAAAAAAATAGATTTGCAGATACAAAACCAATAAGTGTAAGGCCACTCTGTATGGGTCTTGCACATTTTGAAATTCCATATTTGGTCATGAGGTACAGAGATTAATGTATTTCTGCACTAATGTTTCCTTTTTTTAAAAAAATTGCTACTCACAGAGTTTTAATATTTCTAAACATCACTTATACAAGAAAATGTACCAACTTAACATTTTGATATTATTTTTTTGTTCCTTATTTCCTTTTTAGACCTTTCAGACATACCTCCCTCAACCTCTACAAGAAAAAAACAGTGCCCTGGAAAATGGTATTTAAGCTAACTTGTTATTTTGTTTTCAATCAAAATGGTTTATTTAAATTGGAGATCGACCCTGGTCAGTGCACAGCCATCCCTATGGAAGTGCCCTCGGCCCCACTGAGCATCTGCTTTATGATGTCTAGCAGAGGGAGGCTCAGTTATCCCATGGACTGATTTCTTAACATTTTGGCATTTGGGGGGAAAGGGAATGTAGAACAATATTGCAGTTTGTGCTACGCATGCTTTCAATACATTGATGTGTTTTTAACATTTTTTTCCAGTTGATCCAAGAATAATTCTCGAAGATAAACATGAAAAGGAGAGAATTCACAAAGTTAATCAGGAAACTTTTGGCAATGGTCCTCAGCCAAAGTTAGAACACGCACAATACAAGGTTAATTTCTACTTTACATAGACATTTGAGTGTGTCAGGACTCCGACAAATCCACCCCCGTTCAAATCATAAGTCTCCACATCTCTCAGAGTAAAAAAAAATGATTTATTGGGAGTGACCATATCGGCGTTACCTGGGTGCAGCCAACCCTAAGATACATCATTCATTTCCCCCTTGACCCTGGTCTTCCCCCCCACCCCCTGGATGTATAGTCTCCAATGGAACACATCCATAGCCAAGAGTCATCAATCATGCTCTCCAGTAATAATCTTGTGCGCCAACAGCTTTGGCTGCCTAGCAATTATCTGAAGCATTTGAGGAATGCACTACTTTCCCCACTCCCTTTCTGTTGGCAACTAAAAAGACCAAAGAAGTATTTTTTAGTTGACACAGTGTTTATTTTGTCCTCTTTATACTTATATTCTGCAGATTCCATGATTATTCTAATTTTCTATTCTTAATTAAATTGATTTCCAGAAGCTCTGAGCCAGTATTAATGCTAAAAGATTAAAACAAAACTCAGGTAATGCAACAACCAAACAGTCCAATGGACATGGTTGGCACATAACAACTGATTATGCAAAGGCCTTCAGGGTCACAACCTCCACTTGCTGTTCAAACAGAAGCAGCAATCCCCTCTCAAATGATGAAGATTTATCCCTGGATTCACTCAGCTGCTGAACACCACATTGTGTTGGTATGATTGATCTAAGCCTATTTCAACCTATCCAGCTTCTAACTGCCTCCAGTAACCAGGATGGGACCACCATTGCATCTCCTGCTCAGCCAGGATAAAGATGTGTTGTTGGATATTATTAGTATATTGATAAGAAAGAGAGAGAATGTCATCCTGAATCAATACACAGCAGGGTAAAAGTGTTTTCAATGAAGATTATGGACCGTAATCTACACCCAGTATTTCTCAAACTCGGGCAGCTTGAAGATGTAAGGACTTCAACTCCCAGAATTCCCCAGCCACCAAGGTTGAGAAACACTGATCTACATGCTGCCAGTGTGAATTGCTACAGATATGCCTATCATCCCCACCTTAAGACTTTTAATACAATCAATAATAATGCTGAATAAATTAGTGCATTTAAATTAAAATTGTGCTTGTTTTTGGCTGTGTATTAGAACTAGATATTTTTTTCCACAAGAGGGCACCCTTTGATTTTTCATGTGCATGTTTCTTACAGACATATTTAATATCGTAATAAAAGATTACTCTTGAATAAAATAGTTACAGCATATGAAAATGAACTCTGAATGGATGCCAAGGAGCTTTTGTTAATCAAATTAATTTTGCAATTATTGTTTTGAAAAAAAAAACATTGCAATTTTTGGGAACGTTGACTAGAGTTATGTAAGAATACTACCAGTACATTTTAAAATGTCTGTAATGAAGCAGCTAAAATATTTGAGTCAGATCAGGTCAGGAAGATTAAGGTTCATGTTCCCATTCTGTCAGAAATCACAGGTAATTTGGGGGTCATTTTTTAAAATTCTAACTCACAAGTCTGCTGTGGGATAACATATGTTAGGTTCTCTACCATATTGGGCCAAAGATGAAGGGAAGTACATTTAGGGGATTTATGGCATAAATGTGATTGATTATATTTTGTTTGTTAGTTATATGTATCTCTTAAAGGCTATTTCTGTGGGGATTTTCCTGCATTTTATCCCCACGACAGCAACCATGTAAATTAGTTTGGGCTTAGAAAGGGGAAGAGGATTTGAATGTGAATCTCCCAGGTCCAGGCCAGAACCTTAACAATCATACCACACTGATCTATGTACAGTTTCTGGATTTTGTTTGTTTTTATTACAGCTTGAAACAGTGTTTAAAAGTGAAGAAAGAAGCATCCTGAATACTGATGAACCATTTAGATGTACAATTCGGTTTTCTAGTCCTCATCTTCTAGAAGCCCTTAAGTCTCTAGGGCCTTCTGGTAAGTATTGCAATTATGGTAGAACCTAAAAGCCACTATTACATAATATTTTTACAGAATAAAACTGCTATAAAACCAGTGATTCATAGGTCTTTCCATAATGATGCAAGCTATTGAGTTTCTTCCTTGCCAACCAATTTAAACTGTATTTTAAAAACGTGTGGGGGTGGTTGGGGTCATCCTAATTAAACATCAGATATAATAAACACTACTATATTCAAATGCAGATATTTGAATTCTGTAGTAGTTGGTTCATTCTAATATAAATTAATAAGGCAAAAGTCCCTTTTAGGCTGCTCATTATAGTAGCCTCTTTTAAATTTCTCATGTGAATGAGCAGTTTTAATGCATGCAGAATTGTATTTTAATTCTGGATGGATATAGTATCTGAGTTCTCCCATTTTGATTTTGCATCTTGCCAAAATCTCACGAGACTTTTTTTATGCAAGATCTCATGCATAGTTTTGGACATTAAAAAAAATCAAGAGCATTATAGCTGAAAATATGTTGCCAAGCCTTGCCTGAAATAGATTTTGATCCCAAGCCATTGTGTCATGCTGTTATATTTGGATTTATGCAGTGCTATTAAAAGACATCAAATTCCTGAACTTCCAGGTTTACTTACACAGCTGTAAGTGATAATATATTATTGATTTTTACTTTTTTTTTAATACTAGGAATAGCAGATGCTCCTCTTTCACCACTACTCACCTGCATCACTCGAAAAGCCAGGAATTATTTTAAAATCAGAGAGAAAAAAGATGATCTTTCACAAACCAGTAATACCTTTCAAGTAAATTGAAGAAGAGAGACAGATATGGACTCCTCTCTCTCAAGCTTCCTGCATCTTTCATATTACTGTATGGCTTGCAGAAAAATAAACTTTATAACTTGGAAGGTTGAGACACTCCTTGTAACTCCAGTAACTCTTCATACGCGTGCCACATTCTTCTGAAGCAAACCATACCAAAAAGATTTTAGAAATGGAATAATTCACAGTATTGTCTTTGGAGATTTTAGAAATAATTATCAGTGAAGGTTTGTGTATTCTTACAGCTGAAAATGACAATTTGATTTTAAATATGTTAGTTAACTGATGCATGTGAGATAAATAAACCTATAGACTTATTTATAAAATTGTAATCACGGCATGTAATTTTCAGACAAGGATAGACAACAAAGCTGTTCATTTTAACTGCTAGTCAGGATAACAATATTCTATGCTGGGAGTCAACCTCTTACAAAATAATAACCATAGGAGATCCATAAGGAAGGAAGAAGAAAGGAAGAAGAAGAATCTTTTCATCCATCTTTTACTAATCCATCATTCCATTCTGATCTGTTGAACATAAAATTTACTTTACGTACAGGTTTGAAAGATGAGTAGCTTGCATTGTATTTGACATTAAGGGAAAGACACTGGCCCTTTTCCATGGCCAACATCAATATACAGGCTTACATGTTTTTAAAAAAGCACTTGGGTTATTCTAGTAGGCTTATTTATACACCAGTGCAGATGTTATCAATGCTCAATCGGTATTGTCTAATTAAACATGAAATGTTAATCTGGTGTATATAATTATTTTATTTGCTTGTTTTGGAGAAGTTGCTGGGAACACAAAATGCACTCTACAAACATTGATGATAAATGTTCAATTATACTAAATTGAATTTTAAAATGAAATGTTAGTGAATCATGTATATTTTTTATAGTATGGCTTTATATGTACTTAGATGTCCATGACAGAAAAGGAATATATATCAGCCGTATACTGCAGAACACTTTTAACATATGTCAGGGTTCTTTCTGACAATGCAGGTAGCTGTTTTAAGAGGTTTTTGATTTTCATATTTTGTAAAAAATAAACTATTTATAAAATTTGTTTCACTATATTGCTGTTACTATATTCCAAGTTTATTCCTGCTGATAATAAGTGTGGTTTATTAGCCCCTTATCAGTTTTATATGCACTTTGCCTTAACCATAATTTAATCTGTGGTTGCAGACATTTACACTAAATCAAATTGTTCCAAGGTTTATTATATTATATTATTTATTTATTTATTTATTTGATTTGATTTGATTTGCCAATTGTTTACAAGATAATAAGTATAAATGTATACATAGTTGTGAATACATGAAATGGCTACACATAAGAAAAATAAAAGAATAAGAGAAACAATAGGACAGGGACGGTAGGCACGTTGGTGCGCTTATGCAAGCCCCTTACTCTTAGATTATTTGAATTTAATTGAAGCCTAAATTAAGTGTATTCTCTAACCAATTATGCAACATCTGAAAAATTAGTCAAATGCATTATAAACTGCTGGGTTTTTTGTTATTTTCTATAAATGGGAATAATCAAGCTTGGCTTGAAATGTTAGTGTCTATACTTTCCTGAATGTTACATTAATGGTTGATTCTATATACAAAACATGTTAGATAAAACTGGTTGCGGTTGCATTCCAGTTGACTTTGTAGTCACCCTAACTACTCCAAATAAGGACTATGGGGTCATAAAAATGCAGGTTTGTAGTTTGAGATATTTAACGTTTTCGGCTTATCCTATTACCCCTTTTTGCTCTAAAATTAATAGGATTGTCAATTTCCAAGGGATTCTTTCTGTGTTTGGAATCTGGAATTTATAAAAGGCATAGAATCATCTAAGGGAGGGATAGCTAAAATAATTGTCCTTGGAAAGACAAAAGGT